CCATATTCAAGTCCAAAACCATCGAGAGCAAACTTTACAAATCGTGCCGCATGGCCAGCAACAAGTGGTTGCTCAAGTGCATCCCCAGATGCAGCTTCAGTCCCAGATAGTGCCACATGTCCAGACGCGGGGCACGACGACGACAGTCACCTACGAGCAGATCTATCAGCAGCACATTGTCCAGCAGACGGTGCAGCAATCCCACAACAAGATGCAGGTCATCTCGCTGCCCTCGGGTGGATCGGAAAGAAGGCAGTGGAAGACACAGCAGTCGCAACAGCAGCAGCAGCTCCAGTGGTCAACGGTGGGCGGACTGGAGGCCATTAAGAGTGCCCCCGTCGAGAGTGTTTCACCCACAACCACAACATACTACATCAGTGCCGGCGATCTGTATCCGCAACAGGGTGAAACTTACACTATGCTGCAGCCGGCACCCAAAGACAGCTACATGATCGAGCACGTGAATCACCACCACCAGCAGCAACATCGTCAGCAGCAGCATAACCAGCAGCAAATTCAACTGGCCCAACAGCAACATCACCAGGCGCAGCAACAACCGATTATGATACTTATCCAGCAACAAGATGTTCAGAAACCGGTGGCCTCAGCCAGCAATCCTCGACAGGCACCAATGCACGCCTACAGAAACGATATCCATCAACTCCAAAACACGCAACACCAACAGGTACGGCAGCAATATTACCGTCAGCAGCAATATCAGCCGCAGCAGGGAACGCAGCAGCAACAGCCGCAACAAAGTCGAGTCGTACAAAGCCACCCAGTATTGGGAATGCCGGGAGCCACTTCTATTTCCACCAAAGTGACCCCTATTCCCGCCACAACGCCCAAGGGAAGGGCCCTAACGCTCAAGTGTCGCTTCTGCCACAACGGACCGCGATTCTCCAGCAGCCTGGAGTACAGCCGACATATCATCGATCTGCATCCGGCGGTGGCGCCATTCAACTGTCCACACTGTCCTCTCGCATTTGCCGGCCGGACCAAGCGATCGCAGCACATCCTTAGCCACCATGTGGTGCAGCAGTATCAATGCGGCCAGTGCTCTCAGGTGTTCCCGGCCCAGAAGGCTCTGGACATTCACATCCAGCGTTTCCACATGCAACTGAAGACAGAACCTCTGGGTGCCGTGAGTGTGGAGGACGTTCAGCTGGAGATCACCGGAGATCGGAGGCGGGGTAGGCCGTATAAACCGAGGTTGCAGCAACAGCAGCATCAGCTGCAACCACAGCATCAGCTACAAGCGCTACAGCAGCAGCAGCAACAACAACAACAACATCAACATCAACAACAGCAGCAGCAGCAACAAGAGCAACAGCAACAGGAGCAGCAACAACTGCAGCAGTTACAATCGCAGCAGCAGCAACAACATTCGTTGCAAGTGCAGCATCCACAGCAACAACCGATAATGCAGCCGCAATCGCCCCATCCATCAAGTGAGTTTCTTGTTTTCTTATACTTTCACCGAAACAATCTCTTATTACGCCAAAAACTTATGCACAGCAATGGAAATCCAGGCCAGCCCAACAACGCCACGAAAGATTCTCTGCTGTCCAGATTGCGAAGACTGTAAGTTGAATGGAATAGTGGTATAAACACTTAGCTGCCCCATAACCATGACCAAACAACTTGCAGCCAAGCGATTTATACGATATAAATTGGTTCCGATCTAAAACTTTTACCCTTTTCCCACCCGTTGCAGGCACTTCCGGCCACAGCCACGGCCACGAGATGTGCGAGGAGCAGGCGGCACTGCAAGCTCCACCAACGGTGCTCACTCCGCCCTCGACCATCGTCTCGGCTCCGTCGCCGCAGCCCATGATGTACTCGCAGCACATAACCATGCCGTCACCGGAACAATCCGAGCCAGATTCCACGACCACGTTGAGACAGTACCGCAAGCGTGGCGTGATCGTTGGGCCACAGGGTCCGCTGCATTTGGCCACACCAGTGGCCTCACCCTCGCCGTCGTCGTCACCCTCCTCGTCGACGGTGGACCATGCGCCGCCAGCCTCCCCGGCGCCGCCCGCTTCTCCGGCTCCGCCTCCATCGCCAGCCCCACCCACGGTGCAGATGAACGAGTTGCGAGCGTGCCACCAGTGTCTGTACTGCGAGGAGCGATTCTCCAATGAGATTGCTTTGAAGAAGCACCATCAGCTGGCGCACGGAGCCCAGACAACGATGCCTTTCGTGTGCACCATCTGCAAGCGTGGATATCGCATGCGAACGGCTCTGCACCGACACATGGAGTCGCACGATGTGGAGGGACGACCATATGAGTGCAACATTTGTCGCGTGCGTTTCCCACGACCATCGCAGCTGACGCTGCACAAGATCACGGTGCACTTACTCTCGAAGCCGCATACCTGCGACGAGTGCGGCAAACAGTTTGGGACGGAGAGTGCCCTGAAGACGCACATCAAGTTCCATGGAGGTAAGTTTCGGTGGGCGAATCGGAAGCTTCATTAAAGGGTTTTTGTGTTGCCTAGCGTTTAACCTACCGTGTACTAATCCCCCATTCATTTAGTCTTAGTGCTTTTCTGTCGTAGCTTGAGTTATAAGCCTCTTACTAATCCTCCATCAATTGTTGTCGTTATATATTGTTGTACCACCTACTGTATACAGTTTATTCAACCGTGGTTATGTGTTTCAAAGGTATGACAACCATGAACGATTCGCTTTCGTCTCGAGAATACCAATATCGATTTATGGTATGGGTATTCCGAATGCTTTGGCATGAAATAACACAGCTTGATACTTATGCTCTTAGCCATAAGTTAAAATAAATTGTTTATGATTTTAAGCATGCTGCCTGTGGGTGTCCATGTCAAGATAAAATGAAAACAAGTCCCCAAAACGCTTGGTAGTTGTATACCCGGTCCAACGACTTGCAAGAATTTGTATAAAAGCTAATCACCCAGTGGTATGAACTCTGATAATTACCCACTGATATTTGCCAGCTCCAACCTCGAGCTTTCCTAATCATTGACAATTAGCCCTGCCCTTTGTTATTAACCCGATGACCCGAACACTTATCTGTATTCATTTGCAACAAGTATGGTAGAAGTGCGTTCCCTAACACGTGGGAATTTCTAAGAAAAAGGGTAATAATTACATTCCATTGAATAAACATTTGTAAGCTGTATATTAATTGCTTTACTTTTGCTTTCCCCCTCCCCACTTAATGCAATGGGATTAATTTATATTGCTGAAACAGCAACATTTCCTGAAGTTTTGCAACGCACTTTCAACCCCCCGAACATTTCTCAATCGATGTGTTTTATGTTGGTTGTCCGTTCCGCGAGGTAGTGAAATCTGTAGTTTACCTCATTCGCTTGCGATGAGTGTTTTATTTACGCTATCTGTCTGTTGGCTCGAGATCAAAATGTGTGAATCCTAATTGCTAAAACACAACCGATCCGAATATGCAGATACGATACAAAGGCCAACGAAATTGTATTTTTCCAGAGCTCGGTTACCAGTGCGACGGGTGCGATCGGACATTCGAGTATCTGAAAGAATTGCGCAAGCATCGACGCACCCACAGCGAGATGTTTTACAAATGCAAGTTTTGCCCCAGCTCCTTTGTGCGATTCACGGGTTATCGGGGTAAAGTCTCTTGTCAAAAATGGTCTTGTGTTGCCAACATTGTTAATCGGTTATTGAAAATAACTGAAATACTCGAAGGTATAACTAATGAGGTCATTAAAAAGTGTCAATGGGGCTCAAGCTGTTACTCGGATATGAATTATTGGCACCCACCCATAAATTACTAACTGGTTCCATATCAGTAACATTTTAATGCCCAATTAATAAATAATAATATCTCGTAGCTGTCTAAATGTTGTAATGTCTACTGTCTTTGTAATCTACTAATCTAATCTAGTATCGACAAAGTTGGCAATACTATCCATAACCAAATAATGATACCGGTATTTTCAAGTTTATCGAGATAAACTGGAGTACAGATTGTTATATGTCCAGTGCCGGCTTTTTTTCTGCATGGTCTATGATAAAATGCACCTGTTGCTTTAGAAATAAAGCCACTTAATAGAGCGAGTAAGCCATGTACTAACTAATTTCTGTCTTTATTTGATTTAGCCCATATGAAAACCCATTTGCCACTGGGCGTATTTATCACCGAGGAAGTCGCATCAAAGTCACCCAGCAACAATAATAGCACCACGAGCAGTGATAAGGTGCTGGATCCATCCACAACACCCTTCGAGGAGACCCCTTTGACGCCAATGAGCAGCGGTGGACACGTGTACAACAGCCCCGATGAATACCCCAATTCGGTGGAAAGCTGTGCTGGCAACAGCCTGGCTTTGGATACGATTGCCACAACGCCATAACCCAGGGGGCCGGATTATTATTTAGTTTTCAACGCTTTAGTTATAAGAACTCACGAGCAACCTAGCCAAATAATAACGGCGCCTTCCTACACTATCACCACATTCTGTGGCAAATAGCTTCCATTCTTCCCATTGGAGAGCCAAACAATAAATAGCTCTAATTAACAAAAAAAAAAAGGAAAGAAAAGAACCAGCAGACTGCATTGAATGCAATCCAATATTGCACTAAAAATACACTACCTAGCGACTAAGCCAAGGATGATACACTCCCTCAGACACAAATCTTAAGGCTAAAAATTATTAGACCGTAAGATAGTTAGAATATAGACATTCATGCAATGAAACCAACTGAAATAAGCAAAGGTTAGCTTTAGGCCATAGACATATATAAATATGAATATATATATTGCTGATTTCCGTTCCCAGTTAGACTTATTTTTCGAAGAGCGTTTAATGAAAATGATAGGACTAAGGACCTAGATCTAAACAATGTACCAAGCAGCACTAAAAAAATTAGTTTTAAACATTTTGGTATATCATTTAAACATACTATTGAGACGTGAAAGCCAGCTCAAATCGATTTTAGTTTCACATTGTTGTACGTCGTTTCATTGGAATGAAACAAGGCAGTTTTGAATAGCCTATACAATTATTTTCCTTTTATTTATAAATTATGTAATAAACAATTATGCTCTTAGTGCGATCCAACGATAACAAACATGTTTGCCTTTTTGATGTTAACATAAATTTTGGGGTTTCACTTAATCGTAGTACCAGTCCAAGAAAAGCAGGGAGAACGACATGACCAGCAGGAAGAACAGCGACCACACGCGAAGGCCAGCATTCCTTTGGGTGGCCTGGCGGATTTGCTCGTTGGCATCCTTGACATTTTCTGTGGTGCCCACGACGGCACTGACAATCCTGTCGATATTGTGCTGTTGCATGGCGACCTAAAAATGGGGATTTTAAGAGGATTAAAGACGATTAAAACGAGGTTCCATATGGAAGTAGTTGCTAATTAATTGCATGCTAATCGGGAGCCGACTTATATTACGCAATCGTGGCGGATGTAGGAGTCAGCAAGGGGATTATTCTGTGGACCAATTAATATTTTTGATTGAAGGATTAACTGCACGACACGGACAGCCACTCAAATGGGAAATAATCTTGACAATAAGGAACGCTTAGTTCTCATTATACAAACATAACCCACTATCACTACTAAACCTAACCAATCAACATAAAATAAAGTAAATATATGCGCAGTTTCGTATGTCTTATAAGTTTCTAAGAAAAGTAAATAAAGTACAAACCATATATGTTTCACAATATTTTGCTTATACTTTGAGGGATTGCTAAAGGAATACGTTGGCTGTTGTATATTAATTTTTGATGAACGCAAGCCTTAAGCGGAAATTGAGGAAGTGGACCTTGCTCACAAGATTTAGATAGCTCATTTCTAAATGTGCTGTTAACTTTTGTAATTAAGACTAGAAAAGGAACAACTTAATGGAGGAAATGTTCTTGCTAAATTGGTCAGTTCTCGAAATGAAACTGGCAATGAAAAGTTCGCCCTCGGGCTTGTTAAATCGAGTTTGTCACGGAATCGTGGGAAAAGACTATGAATTACAATTGAAAATAACTTCCTCTGACTGGTGTCAAACAAGAACCTTAACAAGACATTGAAAAATCTGTCCTTAGTGTCTTATGGTAGTACCATCTCACCTTCTCGGTAAATATGTCCTGCAGCTGGGCAATGTCCACGACGTTTTTCTCAATCTGCTCCACCTCCTCGGAGACGCCCTGGAGGAAGTTGTAGATGTGCACGTTCTCCGCTTCGAACAGCTGCACATCCTCTGCACTGAGGGGATCTTCATCGTCGGCCTCCTGCTGTTTCTGCAGCTCCTCGTCCAAAGCCACCTTGGAGGACGAGTCGTTTAGGGCCGGTTTATTGTGCTTGCTCCGCTTGCGCGTGCGCGGTTTGTGTTGGCTGACCTGGGCGGTGTCCTTCTCCTCCTGCCCATCGTGGTCGTCCACCTCGGCCTCTTCCTCGTCCTCCTCCCAGTCGCCCCAGCCATCGTTGTTCCAGTCATTGTCGGCAGAGTCATTGGCGTGACCATTTGCCGAAGGAGAAGCCTCCGTGGCATCGCTCTCATCATTGCTGACCTGGCGCCTGCCCAGCTTGCCACTGTTGCTGCCCGCCGGACGCACTGGGATCTTCTTTTTGTCCGCCGCCAGTTTAAGCAGCCTGTAGGTCTCCAGCTCGTGCTGCACCCTGTACTTCTTCTGGTCCAGATAGATGTGCTCCACACTGTGCAGATAGCTGACCAGCAGGTCCAGCACTGCGTCTATGTGCTGACGCTCCTGGGGCTTCCGCTTAACGCCCTTCCAGTCGCTGCGCATCTTGGCCAGGTGCGTCGTGTAGAAGCTGACGAACTTCTCCGACTCGCGGTCAATCAGATCCCGCTGGGCGTCGGTCATGTGGGCAGCGGACTTCAGGTGCTGCCCAATGCGCATGTAGGCGGTCCGGTTCTCGATTAGCACATTGCGCAGGGCAGTGATCTTGTTGCATACCTCCTTGGCCTCCCTGGCGAAGTCGTCCTTTGGCCCAGTGGGTGCAGTTCTTGCGCTTGCTGCCGCTGGTTTCACCTTGCCGGCCAGCTCGGCCTTGCGCTGGAGGCGCACCGTCATCACGCTGGCCTTAAAGCTCTGGGTGATGTCCATGGTTATTTGTTATTTCTAATATAAAACAATTAAACTTTTAAATCCACATCATCGCTCCAGCGCAGAGTGACCGTTCGTTTGATGTGTCAGTGATATGGCAATCTAGCTAGCGCATACAATAGCTAAGCTAGCTATTTCGCTATAGACATGTTATCGATAAGCTTTTCAGGGCTGGCTAGTCTGCTTTTTTTCATCTTTGTGATTTCCCGCCCAACCGCGAACGGCCACACCATTGGCAGAGCACAAACAAAATACGTACTTTTCTGCTACCAAAGTGTCCATAAATCGAGCGCAGAGGAGCCAGTGTCCGATGTAAATGGTTAAATAAAGTGAGTAACAATGGCCCACCGACAATTCGCATTATTTGCGCAGTTAGCTGCCGTTTCGTAGTGTGCGTGTTAGCCTCTGGCGAAGTGTGCGTTGGTGTGCGTGTGTGAGCAACCAGTTTCCTTGGATTCCGATTCCAATTCCTCATCATCTCTCCATGTGTGTATGCAACAAAAACAATAACATTTTGCCCAGGCGAAGGCAAATCACTCGAAAGTTGGCCAATTCCGGATGATCATCAGCAGAAGCACCCAAATTCCCCAATTCCGATTACGTTGGCCAGCCAGTCGAACAGCCAGCTAGCTTGATTTATTAATAATTATTGCCCATTTGCGGGGAATGTATACACATTTCGGTGACTTCAATTGTTCGTCGTCATTCACCTTGAATTCTGTGGGTAAGCGTCCAAAAGTCGCTATGGATATTGTTACGCTTCACTTGCGCTATATACTCTATGAGAAAGTATATTTAATATGCGTATAAGCCATGTGCTTTGGTTTCAGTAGCCAAATAGTTACACGTCGACAAGACAAGCTATGGCTTATCTTATAGGAAGGATCCGGAGATAAGCTCCCTCAGTCATAAATTTGTATGTGATACGATGGTTATTTTGATGTTTTTACACTTTGTTTTGTATTGGGTAACACCATATTTTTTTGAAATGTATTTTAAAATATCTAATATATATTTTATTTGATATTTAAAAATAAATATATTCTATTTCTGTTACCTGAAGCAGATTTAACCTTTTCTTCCAATTTAATATCGCCCTCATTTGAGTTTATGGCCCAAACAAATGGAATATTTACATTATATAGTGCCCTACTCTTTCCTATGACTAATAGCATCAAACAGCTTCTCGCCTGCTGCCAAAAATTTCTCTAATTAATTCTTAAACAACATAGCAAACAATAGATGCAGTGCAAGACCTTTAAACTGATTAATCGTCAATTTTGATCCACACACACTTGTACAACACCGCCGTTTATTTTCTATTATTAATTGGTGCTCGCCAGCGATCAAAGTTTCGCATTCGCTCTCTTGATTTCTGTTATTTGCCTTCAGTTTTTGCTTTCGTCTGGTTTGTGCAACATCAGCGGGGGAATCACAGCGCCTGGTAGGAGGAGATCCATCCGCCATGGATCCCAATTATATTACACAATTTTGACGCCGGGCCTGTCAGTCTCTTTATCTTTTGCTCTTTATCGAGCACGTTCGATTGAACTTTGTTTCGCGTGGGGAAAGTCGTTTCAGTTGTTTTGGGCTGTAGATTAGCTATAGATACCTTATAGATATGATCAGCTGTGACATAGAACACGGTTTTATTTGGCTACAGTATGTAAATATTTACATAGGTAGTTTGTGCGAATCGGTTAAGTGTTTTAAAGAGTAATATAAATGCAGTAGATGTCGGTTAAGAAACACAAAAAAAAAAATAGTCTTTCATACTTTTGCTTGCTACAAAATAAAACTAATCATTGTCGGCATACAAAAATTGCAATTAATAAAGCACTTGTAGTAAAACAATTGACTCGTAATTCTATATTTTAGTGCCTTTTAAAGGATATACAAACTTTACTTTTCAAGATTTTAAGCTAGAAAACTTTTTTTAAATTAGATTTTAATTCAAGAAGTTTAAACTTTAAAATGAGATTTCTAACTTAAACTTATAACTAATAACCGATTCTCGGAGTCACAAGGTTTATTTTAAATCATTGTGGTCAGTAAATGCTAAAACAATATTTTTTCTCTTAGCCAGAACATCATTAACTAATCAATTGCAAGTGAACACATCTAAAATCAAAATATAGAGATGTGTTCTCTTCACGAGTGACTCATAACCGAAATCTACTGTATGCGATTGCTGGCTCTCACTGACTAAAGCTAATTATTCTATCCGAATGCACCTCAGCCCATCAGCGCAATCGTTTCCAGCTGCGGCAGGTACGGGGGCAGGGTGTCCAGGCCGCCCACCACTCGATCGAAGCTGAGGGCATGCCGTGGTGAGGTCATCAGCTGACGCACTCCGAAGGCCACGTCCTCACAACGGCTCCGCTCGCTCGGCTCCAGCTGCCAACAGTTGAGCAGAAGTTGGTAGAGATCTCCGAACACGTAGGCTGGTTGTGCGGGACGCACTGCAGCCCGGATGGCTTCAAGGAGCTGTTGGTTGCTGCCCACTGCATTGGCATAGGGAGTGCCTCCAAGAGCGCAACATTCCCAGGCCACGCAGGCAAGTGACCACACATCGGAGCGGGTGGAGTGGTGATGCTGATGACGCAGAACTTCTGGAGCTAGCCATCTGCTGTTGTCCGGCTGCTGGCGACTGGTGTTCATGAACTGAAGCGGTCCAAAGACGCTCAGCTTTAGCTTGGACTCGCCGGTCACGAAGACGCTGTGCGAGCAGAGCTGTCGATGCACCACTTGGCAGCTAGTTAGATAGGTCATGGCACTGGCCAGCTCGTAGATCCACTGCAGCACCAGTTGCTCAGAGAGGGATGTGAGGCGTTGTGAAGGCGCCATCAGGCGACTCTCCACCAATCGCCTCTTAAGGCTGACCCGCTGCTGCTCGAAGATTAAGTAAAACCAATCCGGACTGGCTGACACTCCATAGAAGTCCAGTAAATGCTCTTGGCGCTTCAAGTGGGACAACTGACGCAGCTCCTTCAGCAATTGTGCCTGAGTAGTTCCGTTCAAGTCATCCAGGCAGAGCACGTGCAGACTACAATCCCTCGCAAAATCGTTATTCGAAACCTTTCCTGTTATGATCTCGCCAAATCGTCCATCCCCGATAACATCGTTCACATTAAGCCGGAGGGCATTCCTCGGTATCCTCTCGAATCCCTCTACCAACTGTTGCAACTGCTGCTTGAAGTTTTCCGGCGTGTGAGGCACTGGATCGTCCTCCACCAGGTAACCATTGTTCTCCCGCTCGATTATTGGCGTCTGCAGCGTCATCTCGTGGGTATTCCCACCAGTTAATCGTCGTACGCGGCAAGTCTTATACCGCAGATAGAAGTAGGCAATCAGACTGAGAAGGAGGCAGGTGCCGAAGATCACACAGGTGACGGCCAGGGCCACCACCGAGGATTGACCCTTATCGAAGGTGGCGTAGCTGAAGTCGTCCAGTGAAGTCACGTGCTGATCATGGGTTCCACGGCTGTACAGCGTCTTGGTCACGCCCTCCAAGGTGCTCACCTAGAAATTAAATAGTTAATTATTTTTCATAAATGGAAAGGTACTAACTGATATTAATTCTCAAACTTGAATATTCTTAATTAATCCATAAAGATTATATTTATGGATTATCTTGAATTGTTCCAAGCAATACTTTGAGAATATTTAGTCATGGGAATTAAGTAAATAGAAATTTGTAAGCTCAAAAGTTTCAAGTGGCAAGTGTTTTTATGCTATAAAACTCTGCAGTAGTTGCCCCTGAAAACGAATGCATTACTCACCACTCCGAGACTGATGTGGACATGTGCGTTAGGCTGATCCAAGGGCTTATTGCTGAATCGTCCGTATCGCTTGCCATCGCCCACCACAAAGTGGCGGGTGCGGTTGTCCTCCGGTCGGTCGTATTCCAACTCGGCGGCTATGTAGTATGGCACTCCGTCCTGTTGAGCCTGCTGCCAGCTGCCCAGGAGCTGTGAATCGAATGGTTGGCTTAGGGCGTTGTCGACATATTCCACGATAATGAGCAGTTTGCTCAGCGGTCCGTTGTCATTCCGGATGGGCGAAAGCTCTATGGTGACAGTGCGATCAGTGCGGCTGAGGATTTTGGGTTGTGCTGGAGCGGGGCTTGGCTGACCCACCTGAAAAGTGGAACGGTGAAGAGTTGGTTAGGACTGTTAATGGGGTATCTCAGTGCCCACCTGTGTGTTGGCTTCTATGGATGCCTGACCACATTCAGATTGCCCTGCTTGTGGATCCTGGCAAATAGCTCTCACGGAGATATTGTACAGAGTGGCAGGATGCAGATCCGTGAGCTCAAATTGGGTTTCCGTCTTCTGCACCATAAACTCTGGCTGAGGGAAGGCGGGCAGCGAGGAGTAGGTCCTTAGAACCTCAGCTCGAATCAGGAAATTGTCCAATAGTTGGTTGGGCAGGACTGCCTCTGCGCCGCCGGCCAGGAGGAGTTTCCTGGCTTCGTAGGCATCCCAGTTGAGGGTCAGACTGTTCTCTGTTTTATTAGATATCCTAAGATGATGAGGAGCCGGCTGTTTGGTCAGTGTGGTGGAGTAATACGAGTGGACACCGACTCCGCCGCAATACTGCGCCTTGTTGGCCAGGCAGCGGGTGTTACACAGCTGCTCGTCCTGCTGTTCCTGCGGCTCGAGGATATTGGCACAGAAGCACTTTTCGGAGGCCAGGACAGCATAGAGGTGTCCCTGGTGCTCGCAGATTTCGATGCAGGTCTGTGGGGTTTTAGAGTACACCGATTCATGGAGCAGATCTGTTCGCGCCGTATAGCAACCGACATAGTAGTAGGCAGGCGACTCCTGGGGGGCAGGTGCTCCTCCTGGAAGGGCCAAACACATGGCCACGAGGCAGCTGGAAAGCCAATTCGAAATGGGGCGGTGTCCGCTTCTTGAACCACCTGCCATGGCTTGCAAATTTCGAATGAACAGTTCCTGCACGCCGGATGGCTGATATCCGCCTGGGTTTTTAGGTTTTTTGTTTGTTTTTTGGAGGGACAACCAATTAAACACTTTTTCACGGGCAGCCAATTTAGGCAAATTGAAAACTTTTATTCTTTTTCCCCGCTCAACAT